AAGGGCCCCCAGCCCAGGGACATCAACATGTTCTCGGCGGCCCAGGAGCGGGCGCAGGACAAGCTGCTCGGCCGCCGCATCTCCGAGGAGGATCCCTTCGGCCTCGGCGGCTACGGCGGCATCGACGCCATCACCTGCCTCAACCTCAAGTCCACCTACGAGTCCGGGGTGCTGAGGGAAGCTTCCCGGGGCTGGAAGGAGGGCAGGAGCATCTTGGAGAAGGAGTCGAGCGGGAAGCCTGTGGCTCGCAGCAAGACCATGCCCCCCCAGGTGCCCCTGCGGACGTACGGCAGCAGGAAGAACCTGGCGCCCGGCAAGAACCGCAGGATCTCCGTCGACCCGGTGAGAGGCTCCTCTTTCCCTGCCCTGGAATGGGGCTGGGCTGGAGCTGGGAGCTGGGAACCCAGCGCTGGGCTGGGAGCTGTGGGTTTGCTGCGTGCCCTTTGCTGCGGGTGGGTTTTACTCGTCCCGTCGCTGCGGCTCCTTGGATTCCTGTTTGTGCCGTGGGCAGAGGCATCTGTAGGCAGAGACATCGTCCCCAGGGATCAGTCAGACTTTTTCCAGGGGTGTGAGATCATGCAGCCACGGCCAAAACCCTCTGGGGTGGGAGAACTGGGTCTGGGAGCCAAGCAGGGCAGATCCCACCCGGGATCCCTTTGCCACCGAGTGGGTGGGATGTTCCATGTGCTGCCTCCTCTCCTCATCCTCATGCCCGGACACTGCTGGACCCCAGACCCTGCAGCCAAAGCCCAGTGCCCACTGGAGGGCACGAGCAGTGCCCAGTCCCATGGTTGGAGCTGCTCCAGGGATGCTGGTGCCAAGCTCTCCGGAGCCTGTAGGTGATTTGCAATGGGCCCATGTCCTGCCAGCTAATGAAATGTCACCAGATCCTTTGGAAAGAGATGGGAGTCTCCTCCTGAGAGCTGGGAGATCCCTTTCCTGTTGGCTCACAACATCCTTTCCAATCCCAGCTCCCTTCTTCCCTGAGCAGTGACTGGGATAACTTCCCACTGCTCCCAGAGGCGTCAGGGAATGCTGGCACTGCCACTGGCTCACCCTCGGGGCTGCCACATCCCTTGTCCCTGCTGGGCTGCCCGTGGCAGGGGCAGAGCCCCGGCTGTGGCACAGCTCATCCCACCTCCAGCAAGAGGAGGAGATAAATGACAGGAAAAGTCACCTTCCTCAGGGATCCCCCCTCCCCGCGGGGCCAGGGGCACAGCAGGGGCTCCCGAAGTCACTCCTGGCTTTCTAAGTGCCAGAACCTAATTATAAAAGAGCATTAAAATTGCCTTTAGTGGCTGCAGCGCTCCCCACCTCCCCGTGCCTCCCGGGAGCTGCTGCCTGGGTTAATTGCTCTGACAGAGGGGCCTTTGTTCGCTGCCAGAGAGCGAT